TTACTTCATTAACTGAAAAGAGTAAACATTTTCATAACTAAGACACAAATTTCCTGCAACTCTTAACAGATACATTAGCATTCAAGATAGAAAGAAAGAAAGAAAGAAAGAAAGAAAGAAAGAAAGAAAGAAAGAAAGAAAGAAAGGGGGAGGGAGGGAGAGGGAGGAAAGAAGGAAGAAAGAAAGAAAACAAAACAAGAAAGAGAAAAGAAAAGAAAGGAAGGGGAAAAAACTCTTGGAGAAAAGGCACAAATTTTGACTGTAGCACAATCATGATCCATATTCCTGCTCTCAGTCAATTTGCAATTATAATACCTAAGACAACATGCTATTGTTTCTCATGATGATGGTGGAAACGATGACATGACACATTTGCCCTAAACATCCCAGGTAATTTACAAATACTAGCTGCACAATGTTTGACCTGGGCACTCAAAGGAAGTACAGGCTGATAAGCTCGGGTTTGCTTAGTTAAGGATTAATTTAAATACCTCAGTCTGGGCTCAGGATTATTTAACTTAAGGGTTCAGTATACTTTTCACATCCTTATTGCAGGTTTCAATAAAATGCATTCAACATGTTCATTACCTGAGGAGAGAATAAATATACCAAGTGGCAACAAAACTATCATGTAACATGGAAATTTTTTTCCAAGTCACCAAGGAAGAAGAAAGGAGATGGAATAGTGTTTATTTGGAAATACAGCTAGTACTGACTGCCCAGGAAATTGTGGGCTTATTTTTCTTGCATTTTTTTTTTCAGGGGAAAATACATAAATAAAATTCTGATCTATCTAGGAGTTTAAATGTTTTGTTACTTTGTGAACCTTGTATTTTTTTTCAGCCTTATTGAGATGTAATTGACATATAAATTGTGTAAATTTAAGGTGTACAACATGTTAATCTGATATATTTATATGTTGCAAAATGATTAACACAATGGCATTTGCTAACATCTCCATCCCATCACACAATGACCATTTCTTTTCTGGGGTGAGAACATTTAAGATCTACTTTCTTGGCAACATTCAGGTATATAATGCAGTATTATTAGCTATAATCACCATGCTGTACATAGCTCTCCGGAACTTGTAGTCATAAAACTGGAAGTTTCTGCTCTAAGGAGTTTAAATATTATATCAAGTGGACGCAACACTGTATATTAGATTCCCTCTCTCTGTTATCTAACGTTGGACTTCGCATGACATTACCCAGTGCTCAAATTGCCTAGAGAGCATCTAAAGGTTTTGGATTTAAGGAATCCAGAGAATCTGAGCCCAGAGCCCGTGGATGGGGCAATTATACAGTGTATTTATTCCGGGCTACTGAGTTACCATTCCCACTGCAGAAGCCAAGTGCATGCTTCCCAGGGGCTACATCGACCTGCTGTCTCTGTTTTAGTCCCTACCGCCATTTCTCCCATTGTAGTAAAACCGCTTGTCTCATTGTCCTCTGGCTCCACTCCTGTGTTTATCAGACTGGCTCACTTGCTGCAAAATGCCTTTTCTTACTCCTGTAGCACAAGGAGGACACACCTACCACCCTCCTGGGATGCCCCTAGTTACAGCCTCTCCATATGAATTGTGGCTTCTTTCCCTAGAACACTGTTCATTCATTCAAAACGTGTTTGTTGAGTACACTTTTTGTGTGTGCCAAGCACGGGTTCAGGCTTGAAGGATCTGGCAGGAAGCAAGACCAGTAAGTTCCCTACCTTCATGGAATGTACGTTCTCTTAGAAGAGGACCGACAACAACAGAGTAAAAATTCTTTTAAACAAAATACATTCAGGGGTGATTGATTGGGTGGCTCAGTTGCTTAAGCAACTGACTTGGGCTCAGGTCATGAACTCCCAGTTCCTGAGTTCAAGCCCCGAATCGGGCTATTTGCTCTCACCACAGAGCCCACTTTGGATCCTCTGTCTCCGTCTCTCTCTGCCCCTCCCCAGCTTGTTCTCTCTCTCTCTCTCTCTCTCTCTCTCTCTCTCTCTCTCTCAATAAATAAATAAATAAACAAACTTACAAAAGAAAAAAAGCCATAAAAAATAAAATAAAATAAAACAGATAATGAAAAGTACTATGAAGAAAATAAGACAAGTTGAAGGCATAAGTCCTGACTGGGCAGGAAGGCTGTCTCATCAGGGCGCTCAGAAAGAACCATGCAAAGATGACCCTAGAGCAAGGCCTAAGTGATTTCAAGGAGCTGGGCTCCTATGGGTCTTAAGGGCAAAAGCTGGGAGGCAGGAGTGTGCCTCCTGTGCTCAGAAGAGGGAAAGGCCAGTGTGGCCGGCACAGAGAACAGGGAGAGGGGTGCAAGAAGAGGCCGGGGAGCCAGCAAACGGTAGTTCGTAATTTTTCTGAAACAGCAATGCGAAGCCATAAAAAGATTTTTAGGAACAATATGATCTAATTTGTGTTTTTAATTACCAGGGATAAGCCCTCTCACGGGTTAACATCATTTTCCAACTTATACTTTGTTAAGCTAACATTTTCAAGACTACTTCCTCCAAGGACCATGTGCAGAAATTCCCAGCTTCCTGGATTGACACATTAATGGTTGAAGAGTTTGATTTCCTGCAGGTGTGGGTAGCTGAGTTTAAGTCTCCTTCCACATACCTATCTCGATCTCCATATCTATAAAGCATGTATTGCTATTCAGTTCTACTTTATTTAAAGTGTAAAATAGTGAAGTATCTGGGCAACTGGGTGGCTCAGTCGGTTAAGCAGCTGACTTAGGCTCAGGTCATCATCTCATGATTGGTGGGTTTGAGCCCCACATGGGGCTCTGCGCTGACAGCTCGGAGCCTGGAGCCTGCTTCGAATTCTGCGTCTCCTTCTCTCCCTGCCCCTCCCCCACTTGTGCTCTCTCTCTCTCTCTCTCTCTCTCTCTCTCTCTCTTTCTCTTTCAACAATAAACATTAAAAAAAAATTGTAAGTGTAAAATAGCCAAGTATTAATAGAAAAGAACAGAATAATTATGGAAGTGATAACACTGTGAGAAAAGATACACATTATATAAACACAGGCAACTGGGCAGCACAATGATTGCCTGGGAGCTACAGCATTAGAAATCCAATCCTGGGCTGCTTCAGCACTTGAGAGCCTTGAACTCTCTCTGCCTTTCTTGACACAGTCTCCCCAGGGATGGTTTGGGGAGAGGTGGAGGTAATTTTACTTTAATCATATAAAAAGACTCTCAGGCAGCTTTTTTTTAATCTCAATCAAGAAAGACCTATAATTGTTTTTTTTTACATATGGAGTGAATTTTCCCCTCTGTTTTATCACTTCTTAGCCAACCCTGACCCTTCCATCTGTCCCCAAGGAAAAAAATCACTTGAGGCGAAAAGTAAGCACAGACTATTGAGAATATGTTCCAGTGTAATGTTTTTTGTTTTTTATTTTTATTCTCTAGTAAAAAGACATTGTCCTATTTTACTGATGGATGATAACTTATACTCCTTTCCTGGGGAAGAAGAAAATAGTTCTGCTCCCTGGTTTCAAGGACATTTGCATAGAATACAACATAAACTTCTAGCTGAGAAATAATGCATTTTCTTCAAAAACATCTGCTGTCAACCTAAAACTAATTCTGAGGGCCATATAATCCAAAACAGTTGAGGAAGATCAAATAAGAAATGATCAAAATCTCTATGGTCTTTCTGAAAAAGAAGAGAAAATCCAATGCAGGGGAGGGACCAGCATGGGCAGGGGGAACAGGCAGTGTGCTGAGAAGAGATCTGAACAGCCAGAGTCAGCATCAAGTGTCATATTATCACAGCAGGGGAAACAAATAAAAAATAAAGTATTTTAAAAGCTGTGCTTTAAAATGTTGTCAAAGGAGTTTGTTGAATAAGGAAGAAAATTGCAACTACAGTGTTCTTTTTTTAATGTTCTGTATTTAATGACAGACCACTGTGATTTGTGGGGAAGAAAATGAGATCAGCAGAGGTAAGGGTATCCCTAGATGTGCACTTTCCCCCTTCCCCAACCACCTTTTCCCCCACCAGACACTCAGAATAGAAACTGTCCAATCAAATTAGAGTAGTATATATGTATATATGTGAAGGTGTGTATACATATACACACATATATATATGCACATGGGTATATAAAACAGCAAATATTTGTGTCAAAAATGGAAGCTCACAGTCATTTTTATACCCACATTTATAGCACTCCCAGGTGAGCATTTCTGTGCTCTGAGAATTACTAAGTCTTCTTCATTCTTTTTTTTGTTTTAATGTTTTTTTTTAATTTATTTTATTTTATTTTATTTTATTTTATTAACGTTTATTTATTTTTTGAGACAGAGAGAGACAGAGCATGAACGGGGGAGGGTCAGAGAGAGGGAGACACAGAATCTGAAACAGGCTCCAGGCTCTGAGCTGTCAGCACAGAGCCCGACGCAGGGCTTGAACTCACGGACCGCGAGATCATGACCTGAGCCGAAGTCGGCCGCTTAACCGACTGAGCCACCCAGGCGCCCCTGTTTTTTTTATTTTTGAGAGACAGAAAGAGAGAGCAAGCAGGGAAGGGGGAGAGAGATAGGAGGACAGAAGATCCCAAGCAGGCTCTGTGCTGACAGCAAAGAGCCCAATGCAGGGCTCAAACTCACAAACCAAGGGATCATGACCTGAGCCAAAGTCGGACACTTAACTGACTGAGCCACCCAAGTGCCTCTCTCTCTCTCTCTCTCTCTCTCTCTCTCTTTTTAATTAATTAATTTATTTTGAAAGAGACACAGTGCAAGCAGGGGAGAGTCAGAGAGAAGGAGAGAGGGAGAATCCCAAGTTGATTCTACTCAATTGGTATGCAGAGTCCAACACAGGGCTCAAACTCAGGAAACCGTGAGATCGTGACCTGAGCCGAAATCAAGTGTCCCATACTTAACCACTTAACTGAGGCACCCAGATGCCCTGGCTTCTTCATTCTTATTTCAATAGCTTTTTAAATATAATAGATGAAAACATGGAGTTTGATGACATCTCTGTGATTGCCAACTCACCTCACAAACAGTGGTATATGTGTCGTTCTGCATGGAAAAAAAGAAAAAGAAAACCACTTAAAATCCTTAAAGTTGTAAATAACTTTAATGACACTTTGGTATATTCTTCTTTCAAATTAATTTCTTGCCTCACCATTGACAAATAACCAATAAAAAAATCAAGACCAAGAAGCCCAGAGTTGGGCCTTCTCTCCAGGCAGGCCACACTGTATGAACAGCTATAAAAATCATGTTTGCATCACTGGAAAAATGGAGGAGCCTGATGTCTACTAGAAAATCCCAGGCAACTAAGAGGTAATCTGTGATGGACCAGGTTAGCGAATGAAGAGGTGTTGGCAGATGCCCAGTGGAGACAGAAGCTGAAATGGAAACCACCCACCGCTCTGGCTAGCAAAGGCCAGTAGGTTCCCCTGCCCAGACTGGCTGCTCCGGTGCCCACTCTATTGCCTGGACTGTTGCCAGCAACAAATGGTACTTCCCATTCATTCACCCAGCAAGTGCTCTCTGAGCACCTGCTATGTGCCCCTCACTGTGTTCTGTGCAGTAGACAGTGTGAACCAGAAGGAGAGAGACCCACTCTGATGGGTTTACGTGTCAGAGCAAAAGATAGCAAACACAAACTAAACAAGTAACGATCTTAGCTGAAATTTGTAAAAAGTGGTACCAAAAGAAAGGTTAAGAGTGCTTTTAGAATGTGTAATAGCTCCAAAATCCAGATAGCACCTGTTCCACGTTTTGGTAACTTCCATTCTATGGGGCACATAGTCACAAATGTGAGAGTCGGCCTAAGCAACTCCCATAATAGTGACTTCTGCGGACATATCATACAGGAAGAGCTATGAGCACCATTTGTAAGGAAAAGTTAATGTCCTTATTTAAATTTCAATGATATAGTTTCACTTATTAATAGAAAACAATATTAAAATTACCCCCAAATTATCATGATTTAACCTCCAACCTGAACAATCTGAAAAAAGGAACCAACTCACTTTTAAGTAACAAAATTCTTATTCATTAGATCTGAGTAATTACAGTGTATAGGGCCTCATCCTTAGGGAGGAGATTCTATTATTATCCTAATTTATTGATGGGGAAAGAAAGTACCCAGAGGTTAAGTACCTTACCTAGTTATACACTAAATGGCAAAGCTGGGATAAATTAAAAATCAACTATTTGGGGATGTATTTTCTACATAGAGTGGAGTGAACGTAGGGGCTATGATTCCTGGATTAGGTTGCTGCCGTGTTCCCTGCAGAGAAACTTTCAACATGATCTAGGGCCTTGCTATCCAAGTGTAATCCAAGGGCTACAAGCATCACATCACCTAGGAGCATGTTACAAGTACAGAATCTCATGTCCCACCAAAGATCTACAGAATCAGAATCTGCATTTTAACAAGATCCTTAGATTACTGTGCTTTAAATTTTGAGCAGCGTAAGACTAGGAAATTTAACAAAGGCCTGACATTCTACTAAAAGGCCTTTATGGTTTGGAGCAATTGAACATTCCTGGGTTCCATGGTTTTCATTAAACTCCCTTGGTCTCCAGTTGCATTAGTAATGTTTATCTCAAATTATGTATCACTCAGGCTATCATACTTTTCCTTTAGAGTCAAGCAAACTAAGTGAAAGCCAGTGGAAATTCAAGCAGGAATCCTCCTAGATGACTTTTCTCTTGAAGGCATTATTAGTATCAAAACAGAAACATAATTAATACTTACACACTTTAAAGGACAGTTTTCCTGATCTACAGAGTTCCAAAAATGACATCCTTGGATGCACTGCAAAAGATAATAAAGAGACAATGGTGACTAAAGAAGTGTGACTTTTTCTTGTTACCTGGTAGTACAACTTAGTAACAAAAAGTATTTTAGAAATAGATATCTACCCAGGAATCCGTGGCCTCAGAAGGATCAAGACTTTTGGAATTCTAAGCAGAGCCCTCATATCTACAGGCAGAGCAGGGCTTGGTGTGATTCACTACAGGGCTGTGGGATTGCTGAGTACAGGTGGGATGGGGTGGGCAGGCCTAGAAGCCAGAGAGCACCCAACCTTCAGGGAACACACTGTCCACCGGGTGGCTGGCAGCAGGTAAAGTCCTGGACAACATGGCATCGAGCATACTGTGCGTCCTTGCCATGTCCTCACGCACAAGCCAAGCCCAAGGGTGCCTGGGTGGCTCAATTGGTTAAGCATCTGGCTCTTGGTTTTGGCTCAGGTCATGATCTTAAAGTTCATGAGTTTGAGCTCCACATCGGGGCTGTCAGTGCAGAGTCTGCTTAGAATTCTCTGTCCTCCTCTCTCTGCCCCCACCCTACTTGTGTGCTCGCTCTCTCTCTCTCTCCCTCTCTCTCTCTCTCAAAAGAAAGAAATAAACTTAAATAGTTAAAAAAAAAAAAAAAAAAAACAAGCAAAACTCAAAACTGGGAACTCAACCAGAAGGCAGCATATCAAAACCTAAATAGATCAACAGCTTGGGAAGTCTGTTCATGTTTATATTTTGAGTCACTAAACACTTGTTGAATAAATGGATACAGGTGCGGGAAAGTAATAAAACCATAAGTGTAATTGTTAGAGGAAACACTGGAGACCATCTAATCCAACCCTCTCAGACAGCATATAATAAAACTAAGTTTCAGAAATATTAAGTATTTATCCAAAGCCACACAGTAATGTAGAACCAAAATCACAGAGTTGAATTTGTCCTGTGTTCTTTCCTCTTCAAAACAGGAAGTGCCTGAGTTCATTTTTGAATATTCTATAATTCTGACGTCTCACTATTTTCAATTGAGTTTCCTCCATCAAGGACCAATAAATGAGACTTTACTTAGGGAACATTTTCATTGTAATAAAATCTGACCATTGCCCCATTTTTATCAATACAAACACTATGAACTTCCAGACAATGGAAGCGATTACTCACCGGTTCACTCAGATTATATGGCATGCCAATGTCAAGCTGCCTGCCCTGAAGTGAAGAAGGAGATAATAAATACCAGCTATCAATATTGTGTTCAGTACAATTACCACACCTTTTTATAAAAAGCTTCCTGGAATAGCGTTGCCTCCTCCATGCTTTCTGACTAGAAAGTACAATGTTTTAAAGTCATTAAATCAGTCCCGAAATCAGGTAAAATGCCAGTGCAAATTGTAAGATGGAATGTCTAAGAACTCTGCAGAAATGATAAAGGTGGGAGTGGGGATATGACTGTAAGGAGTGGTTGAGGACATTGGATAGATTCTCACACGGTATTAAATAAACCTGCGACTTTAGCCAATTCATCCATTTAAAGGACTCATAGGTTAAAGATGAATTATGTTCAGATTTTTCAAAAGTCACCTTACTTACTAAGAAGAGAGAAGAAATACAAATTCAGAATTTTACATATAGGAAAACATCAGATTACTCTTTTTTTCTCATATTTTCACAAATTTTAAGATCTTTTTGTGCTGGGGTAAACTAAAAGAAATAGGAACTAAGAGGGAAAAATCCATAAATTGTTCATCCTTTCCCTGATCATCACGTGAGTGGAGCCCTTGGCAAATAGAAAAGGCTTACAAAAGATGGCAATATTAGGCCTATGATAATCATATATGTGCCCGAACAGTGTTCTATGGATATGATCTAATTTAGATCACTGCCTCACGGACTGATTTAGAATTATGAGCAGAGGATAACTAAGTGAATACTCCTAGTACCTCTATATTGCTCAGAACCTCCCCTGAAAAGTTGCTGAATTTGAACCATTGAATTGGAAAAGACAATCCAGCAAAGAGCATGCCATCTATCCTTAGCTGTCCCAGCACTGCAAGCAAGATATGTTCCAGGAGATGGTAGAAAATCCCAAGGGGCCCTGTATGTGGTTTAAGCATCTCTTGTGGCTTTCTGAATAGCCCACTATTTTCAGAGGAAAGAGAAGATCTGTTTATCACTAAGTTCACTGAGTACTCTCTCCCCTTCTATGTAAGCACCATTCATTTTGTACTTCACTCTGTCCTTAGTACCTATAACAGTCCAGAATGATAAGAGGTGTTCAATAAATACATATGGAAGGAATAAACACATAAATTCAAGATGGTCTATTCCACAGGAATGCTCCAGAAGTCCTATCTCTTGGAAGTCTTATACAGTGGCCTACCACTGTGGGGATTTACTTGAGAAGTAATCAGACACAGGAGCCAAAGAACCAATGTTGCCTTTTCCACTCTCATTTGATGTGTCAGTGAAGATTCCTCTAACCTCCATTCCTTAACCACTTATGCTTAACATGTTTTGTTTTTACATAATAAGTACTTAGAGAGTAAGAACTGTATCTTTTAGATTAATTTTACAACCAGGTGCACAATAGTACTTTGTTTCCACAATTTTGTTCAAAATGAAGCTTTTGATTCTCCTTTATATGATTGAACCACAATCATATAAAATCAAATGTAAGAGTCATTTTGCAATCGAATTTTCATATCCCTTCAAAAATCTGTTAGCTCATAAAAACAACAGGGTGGATGTTGGGTAGATTCTCCATTCCATTTTATTTTATCTTTTTTTCATTTTTAAAGGTTTTGTTTTTAAGCAATCTCTACACCCAACATGGGGCTTGAATTCACACCCCCAAGATCAAGAGTCCCACGCTCCACTGACTAAGCCAGCCAGGCACCCCTCTCGGTTCCATTTTAAACAGTAAGTTAACAGATGTTTCTTGGTGACCATAAAGCCATATTGTAACAGTACTGAGTCAAGACTAAATTTAACAGGCTGAATGGAAAGCCCATCAAGTGGTATTGGGCAAGGTAGCCTCATGAGTCAGGTCTATAGGGTTCTGATGAAACAGAGTTTGTCAACACACTTCTCTAATCTCATGGTATTCTCCACCCCACTCTTCATCATCATTATAGCCACCATGCAGTGAGTGGCTCCTATGTTCCAGGCACTCTACAAGGTGTTTTACACTAAATCTCATTCAACATCTCAACAGCCCTACTAAGTAAGCATTATTTTTAACTCCATTGTACAACTGAGACACAGGGAGGTTTAGCAAATTGCCCAAGAGTTAAAATTTAGAGATCTGAAAGTTGTCTCCAGAGCCTGTGCTCTTAACCAAAGCACAACACCTTCTATAATCTTCACCAAATTCATGTTCCTTACTTTACAGTTAGGATCCTTACCAGTTTACCTTAGCTCCATCTATTCCAGTGATCTGCTTAAAACACGCAATCCCAGTCCTGGATCTCAAATCTTCTTAACCCATACCTACTTCTGGGCACAACCTTGTCTATTCTGCCCACCTCAGCCAGAACTAATATCATTTCCATACTTTCAACCCTGGTAAATGCAGAATAGTCTGCCTTTTAGTCCCATATGCAACACTTGCTTGTGATGTGATATTTTCAAAGTCACCTGTGCTGTCTAAACTTAGTACTCTCATCAGAGACATAAATGAGATAACATTAAGTTCACAAAACTCTGCGAGGACTCAAATAATAATGTATTAGTTATAATAGTACAGTACCAGGAACTTGGAAATCTAGTGGTAATGTTATGTGCAAACATGCTGTAAACAGCTTTTTGCAGATGTACCTTTGGTTAGTTAAGTAATAATCTCAGATACATTTCTTGATGTGCAATTGTACATGAGAGTGCTGGTTTATCCCAACTTTGCCAACTATAAATGTTTTTCATCTTTGCCAACATAATGCATATTTTTGAATCAGGCTTCCTAAGGCATTCCCACTTCAAGATTGTAGAAATATTCTTCCATAATTTATGCTAAAATTTCTATGGGGTAAAGTTTTGTTTTCTTTTTGTTATTTGTGTATATTTAAATCACACTACTTTTTTAAAGCACACTATTTTTTAATACCTCCTGGAATCTATTTTGAATCTATTTTGAATCAGTATTGTAGTTAGGTTTTTAAAATTTTGTTTAAACTTTTTTTAAAGACTTTATCTTAGAGCAGCTTTAGATTTAGAGCATAATTGAGATTAAGGTATGGAGATTTCCCAAATACCTTCTGCTCCCACACATGCATAGTCTCCCCCTGTTATCAATATCACTCATCAGAAGAGTACAATTTTTACTAAGGATAAATCTACATGGACACAATATAATCACTCCAAGTCCGTAGCGTGCCTTAGAGCTCACTCATGGAGTCATATATTCTGTGGGTTTAGACAAATACATAGTGACGTATATCTATTGCTGTATCACACAGAGTATTTTCACTATTCTAACAATCCTCAGTGCTCTATTCATCACCCCACCACCACCACCACCACGTACAAACCCATTGCTCACAACCACAGGTCTTTTTGTTGCTTCCATAGTTTTGCCTTTTCTAAAATGTCATGTGGTTGGAATCATACGGTATGTAGTCTTTTCAGATTGGCCTTCTTTCACTTAGTATATACCTTGAAGTTTCCTCCATGTCTTTTCATGGCTTGATAGCTCATTTCTTTTTAGCTCTGAATAATATTTCCTTGTCTGGATGTGCCACAATTTACTTATCCATTCACCTACTGAAGGAAGGTATTTTTTGTTCTAAATAAATAGCTCTACTTTGGTCTGAATTGCCATCTTTATCATATTCCCCACACCCTTAAGTGCCTGGTTTAATTTCTAGACTGTCTTCTGTTTTACTGGTCTGCCCATTTGCACACCAATACAAATGGTGCTAATTTCTGGATATTTTATGGAATGTTTGGATTGTTCTATTATCTTGTTATAAAGTTATATATCAATATACGAGAAAGGTACTGATGTTTGTGCTTTTTTAAACAGGATAAACTTCTGAACTCTACTGTTTCTAACAGTCTTTTATTGAGTTGAATTGATGCCTCTAACAGCATTTCTCAACAGCAGTTCCTCAGTTGTTGGGACTTGTTACTCAAAAAAAAAAAAAAAAAAAGTTTTGTTGCCAAAGAAGATCAGAAAACTATGATTAAACAAATCCATTAATATATTGTTGTGGCCTGTGAATCTACAAAAAGCTGGCAAAAAGCATTTCCATAAGTTATTTGACCATAAGTCCCTTTTGTCTCTCTTTCATAAAGGATCCCACAATACTAGGGTTCTGAAGACCACTAATTTTTGTTCTCTGCAGCACAGGCACATATAACTCAAAAATGTCAAGTTAGTTAACACACTCAACTAACACACACAGATCCCCCTACTGATGTAAAATACTCCTGTTCATGCGTAGAACTATGATTTGTGCATTAATGGACAGCAATTCTAACATTCCTTTGGACCAGACATCGTGTTTCTTTTTAAATGGCAAAGATGCCTCACTATCAAGAACCACCCAGTGACATCAAAGATTTTACCTTCACAGCCAATGTCCAGGCTAAAAGAATGGAGCACAAAAAAATTCACACAGTATAATAAACTCCAGCACTTTCCATATCCTTTCCCCTGATCCATGGCTATGCTCACTGTTTATTCACCTAGCTTTTGTCACTCCAGGTCCTGTGTGGGAGGCCCAGATGGAGAACATTTATTACAGCCACCAGTGAAATTGGCAGACCGTGTCTCTTGCAGCCGCCACCATATCAGCTGTGCCTTTGTCTGTAGGTGGTAAACGGAAGGCAGTGCAACAAGGAACAAACTGTCCACTCCTACTGCCTGAGACCAAAGGAGCCCACACAAAGGCAAGAGAAAACTAAACCTAACTGAAAAATAAAAGAAAAAAAAATAAAACAAATAAACAGGAGGCTACAATCATGGAAGCAACCAACATCAGTTTTGATAGTGTGGGGAAATTAACAAATTATGGTGGTACATTTATCAGATGGAAATATTCTAAATATATTCAAGATCTTGTTTCCATAAAAACTTCAGGATATAGGAAAAACTTACAATGTAATGTTAAATGGAAAAGGTGAGTGCCCAACTGTATGTAAAATTACATACATGTTAGAAGAAAGAATACTCTTTTCTTTATTCTCTATTTCTTCTGTATCTTATAAATATTTTACAATGAGTATATGTTCTTATTATAATCAGAGAAAATGTTTAATTTTTTTAGTAAAGAAAACATTTAATAGTCTTATTCTTCCATTTTTAAGTTTGGATGACAACTGTAAAAACCTAAAGCATACAATTCTACATTAATGGCAATGAAGTCTTCAACAATGAATTGTATAAAATACCAAACTTCTTTAAAAAGTGCTACTATCCATAGCAAGCTTAGGTAGTGTTTTAAACTATATTTTAAATGAAGCCAGAAGAGCGTAACATGAATAAATCTGTTTTTTATCTGCCACGGATTTCTACCTCCAATACTTTAACATGACAATGAGTACTGTATTTGGTACTTTTATTATTCTAAAAAGTAGGACTATAAGCAGTATAACCTTTTAAGCTTTCTTGCTATTTCCTTTGTCTTTACATAAGAAGGGTGCATCTTTCCGTGGCTAGAATGTATTTAGTTTTTACGGTTGATTCAGTGGCTGTTTTAAGGACAACTGAGTCACAATAACTGAAAGATATGAAACAATGTATATAGGAAGGGCGACACCCGGAAATGAGAAGGAAAACATAAATTTTCTAACCAAAACACTCATAACTGAAAAAAATTACAAATGCACAGACAGAAGTAAAGCAATTTAAAAATGATTCTTGCTTTTCAAATAAAATGTTGTTCTATATGGCATCTGTATCTGCTTCCTTGGGCATCCACCTGCCGATACCTCCATCCATCCACAATATAAACAGTACTGCCTGCCATCTGCAGCTAGTAGGCATTGCCCTGTGGCCAAACCTATTTCTGACTTCAAGACAAACAAACAGTTTTGTAATAAATGAGTTTAAATTGATACTTTTAAAGCATGCAAAATTTATTACATTGAAGCCTCTGTAACCCAAGTCCTATGCCTCCTCACACACGCACAAATCTATGAACAGATAACTTAAAGAACTAAAATAGCTCCCCTACCTTCTGTAATTAAAAACATCCCTAATTTATTTTGGAAAAAGAATCTTTCTGGCCTCGCTACCACTTCTTACTTAGGAGAATATCTCTCATAAAGAAAAAATACCTCACTCATTTGCAACAAGCTGAATTTTCCATGTTCCAGTTCCTGCAAAGACAAATATTAGACCAGCAAAACTTACCAGGTTAGTCACACATGACTTTAGGCAGCTGTTTAAAACTGTACACTGTACCACAGAAATCCATATGCAGCCAAGACTCACAAAACTGACAAGTTTCGGACCAAGCCAGGAAATGTTCTTCATCACTTCACCAATGGCGACTTTCAGGCGACTGTTCTCATTTTCTCCATTTCACTACATCGGTTCTTTAAGTTTCAGTTGAAAGGGTGGCTGGTGGAGTTTGGGGTTTTTGTTTTTTTTTTTTTTGACATGTTAGAATATCTTTGCCTTATAAAATAATATTTACGTCTTTTGCTTTAGACCTTTGAATCGTAGACAGCTTGTAACATTCACAGAGCAGCTGTTTCATAATTTCGTTTCCCTTTACTCTCATAAAGAAGATCACCTGCTGTCTAAAGGTTAGAGCTTAGAAGTGCGCTTCGCAGGGGGAAGGAAACCACGTAGAAAACGCAAACTGCATTTCAGCAAGCGTGTGACACGTGCGCAGTCTGAAACCGGAACACTCGAGATCATCCACCCCTTCACTTCTCTGAGGTTGGTTCAGCTACACAGGAAACTGGGTTTGGACCGTCTACGCTTTAGCCAGCGGTGACACTATTATAATGAAGAATTATCAGAAAAATAAAGTCAAAGCGATACTCTGACGAAAGGAGGAGACAGAACCCTTTGAAATACATATTTTGAAATTAAAAAGCAAATAAAGCTGAAATTAATAGACAAATACTCGGAGGGTGAGTAAAGACAAGGAAGTTTGTTAGCGCACTTTGAGAACTTCACTACATATTAACTAAAATACTGCCTTATCAAGGCTATTGAGACAGAGAGCTAAAACTAGCCACTCTCTAAGATATGTACAAGTGTAGCTCTCTTGAAAAGGAAATACTGTACAATTTCAATGAGTCAGACATCAAGATAAAGTTAAGAATTTCAAATCCACAAGGTACAGAAGTGAGTCATTCTGGAGAGCTACTTTTTAGATTGCTGGGGGTTAACTTGTTAAGGCCAGATAGTTTTGTGTTTGCTGTTTTTTCTTATGACTTAAGTATCCATGTCTTTTTTCCTAAATTTGCTTTATGTTTTATTTTATATTTGAGACAGAGAAAGAGACAGAGCGCTAGCAGGGGAAGGTCAGAGAGACGGAGACAGAATCTGAAGCAGACTCTAGGCGGTGAGCTTTCAGCACAGAGCCGGCTCGAACTCTTGAGCAGTGAGGTCATGACCTGAGCCGAAGAAAGACGCTCAATCTACTGAGCCACCCAGGTACCCCAAACTTCCATGTTTTCTTCTTCCTCCTCTTCTTCTCCTTCTTCTTCTTCTTCCTCTCCTTCTTCTTCCTCTTCTTCTTCTTCTTCGCCTTTGTCTTCATCTTCATCTTCTTTTTCTTTTTAATTAAAAAAACAAAACTTTGAAAAAAACTTTAATAATAAAAAAAAAATGATGGGGTGCCTGGGTGGCGCAGTCGGTTAAGCGTCCGACTTCAGCCAGGTCACGATCTCGCGGTCCGGGAGTTCGAGCCCCGCATCGGGCTCTGGGCTGATGGCTCAGAG